GCAGTGCTAGAGGATAGCTCTTCTGGCTGGTGGACCAAGGAAAAGCTTTTGGTGGATCGGCTGAAAAAGCTTGGGCTGAGATCCATGTCGGAAAAAACAGTCGGTGCTTGTGTGGCACTCCTGGCATGCACATTGACAACATGTCCGTCGGAAGATGAGCTGCACAAGATCTCTGTTGAGATCAAGGCTTGCTTTCAGACGACGGAGGCTTGCCCTGCACACCTGCCGATTGTCATCAACTACCCGGAGAACCCGAGCAGACTGCCTGAAAAGCTTTACGATCACAGCTACAAGGAGCATAAGCCGGAGCCTCGACACGTGGAGCAGTTCGCCCACATTCGTGGCTTGAAGTTTCTTCGGACAAGCAGCTCCAAGGTTGGTGGCAAGAGGAAGAGCTCAGAAGCTACCAGTTCGGCCGGCGGCATGCAGCAGCTCAAGAGCTTTCCGGGCTCCACGGATGGCAACCCAATGATGGGCATGATGGGCATGATGATGAACATGTGTCAAAACATGTGCGAGGCCATGGGCAAGTGCGACAGGCAGCCGGCTGTGAACATCACCGGCGGCCGCCAAGCCTCGACGAATCAGTTTCGGCCGAAAGGCTTGCAAATGCTGGCAGCCGGAGAGACGAAGAACACTTCGCCGGCGAAAACTGCAGGGCTTCCGGCGATTGAGGGTCCAAAGGAACAAGAGCCTGCTATTGAGGAGGCGGAGGCTTCGGAGGAGGAGGAGGAGGAGGAGGTGCCAAAGGACTGCGAGGATCAGGACCCCGACACAACCAAGCCCCGCAATAAAAGCATCGAGGAGAAGCTCTACTTGACTTTGCAGAAGAACAAGAAAGAGGCCAAAGAGGCCGCTGCGGTGGCTGGCAAAGCAAACGCCAAAGCAAAGGCTAAAGCCAAAGCCAAGGGCAAGGCGAAGGCCACCAAGAAGGCGGTTGCCAAGGCCAAGACTTCCAAAGGCGGCGAGCTCCCCGACTACAATCCGGCAAGCCCGACAAAGGCCCAATTGATGAAAATGCGGGAGAGCTACACCGACAGCCACTACCACAGAGCTCGCCTGATGGCAAAAGCCCTGGGCTACTCGGCAGAAGATGAAAAGGCATATGGCCGGAAGGCCAGGCAGGCAGCAGTCCAGAAGTGGCGAAGCCACCAGTGAGCTGCTGTGTGTGTTTTGGAACCTTTGCATGCTGTTATCTTTGGTGTGCAAGGGCAGCAGGGTCCGGACCAACAACACTGAAATGTGTTAAGGTCCATGGGGTGTCGGAACATGTTCCGGCTGTTGACACCTGGCAAAAGCTGCTCAGCTGCAACGGCTGCCATGGACGTCGCATGGGGTGGCTCGCAGAAGCAAAAAGTAGCAGCTTCTTACATGCATGCCCTCGCATGCATGCCAGAATCTCGGGCGGTGAAAAGCTTTCGGGCTACAAAGGCGGCATGTGTGTGATGTGCTGCAGAGCTTTCTTGCTGCAAGTCCATCCTTTCATGCTTGATGAGCCGAGAAGCCTAACAGTTGCACGAGTGCATGGCCAGTATAGAATCCTGTGTGTGCAGCCGCCTTTGCCGACCATGGATCGGGCTTCTAAACTGCAGAAGCTGGAGGATGTGCGACGAAAGGTGCCGGCCATGTCGAAATCAGCCATGGCGGGCTTACTGAAAGAGATTGAGGCAAGTGGCCTCCCGGAGTTGAAGGGCCGCCGCCATATTAAAGAAGCAACAGAGCACACTGTGTGTCAGCACTCTGCATATGGCCCCATGCTGCAAACAGTGACTGTAGAAGGTTTGGATGGTTGCCCAGTGCAAGTCCTCTTAGCCAATTTCTTCAGCTTGTTGCAAGCAGTGTGGACTGTGTCCGACAGCTTCCGGGTTTTGGTGCAGAGGAGTACAAGCAGCCGGCAGGCTTTGAAGCTGGTATATTACACAGACGAAATAAACTGTGGCAACCCACTTGCTGCCGATGCATCTCGCAAACTATGGGCGGTCTACATCAGTTTCATGGACTTCAAAGCTCATGCCCTGTCCAAAGAACAAAGCTGGCTACCAATGACAATCATGCGATCCAAAGCTGTGGCCAACATGCCTGGTGGGGCGAGCCAACTGGCTGCAATTGTTCTACGGAGCATTTTCAGGCATGACTTCGTGGATCCGTCCCTGGGTTTCCAGCTCAAGGCACCAGATGGCACCTTGCACCGCATGAGGTTCGAGCTCGGTGCCTTCTGCCAAGATGGGCAGGCACATAAGATGCTGTTTTCAGTGAAAGGAGACGGCGGGACGAGATGCTGTGCATTGTGCAATGTCGTGGCGAACGGCTCGGTGGACAACGAGGCCACAGTCATCATGAACCAAGCCACGGCAGAATATCAGCTGGTGCTCACCACGGATTCGTCGTTCGCCCAGTCCATCGTTACATTGGTGCAGAAAAAAGCGACGTTGTCCAAGGCGAATTTCGCCGTGTGGGAGCAAGCCTCCGGACTTGTCTGGAATGAGCATTGTCTCATTTATCAGCCAGACCTCTGCAACCTGGTCAAGCCCGTGTCTCAATGGTGCCATGACTATATGCATGCTTTTTTCGTAAAGGGCATCTGGACTCTCGGCTTTTATGCAGGTTCCGCATTTGTAGAGTAAGGTCCCCTATACTCCCGAAAAGTTCCTTCTTTTCGTATCCTCGGTTCAATGCATTGAGGAATCGAGTTATGTGGCTGGTCCTGACACAGGTGGAGCAGCAACTGGGACGGGACGTGTACCATACGTGCTGTGAGTACATGAAAAGCTGGGTCTTGCCGAAAGCACGATCTGAGAATCCTCCTTCGCTTTTCGCACCGAAGCGAAAGCAGGGAAACAAAGATGCCAACACTTTCAAGTGCACTGCTTCCGAAGGCCTGTCAGTTATGATTCCTTTTCTGTTTTTTTTGCTGCAAGTCATCGGGCCATTGGGGATCTGCAAGGAGCAGATAGCTGCTTATGCTTGCTTGGTGGATGTCTTGGAGTTGCTTCAGGCCACAGCCTTGGGAACGATCACCCCGACCATGCTTGCAACAGCTATTACAGCTTTCCTGGAAGCATGTCAGACTGCAGACTGGAGGGAGGACTTCCACCCGAAGTTCCATTGGATCATCCACATGCCTCGGCAATTAGCCCGCTGGGGCTTTTTACCCAGCTGCTTCGTCCAAGAACGTAAACACAAAGTCGCCAAAAGGTACGGAGGTCGGATTTTCAATACACAAGGCTTTGAAAAGACAGTGATGCTGGACCTGCTGGGCCACAACATTGCAGACCTTCAAGAACCCGACCTTTTTGGAACAGCTGGCAAGCTAGTGCAGAAGTGCAAGGCCCCCAACAAGATGGTTCAGTTTATCACTGAATGCATGGGGTACCAGGCCGAGGAAATCTTCACTTGTTCTTCAGTTCAGCTGGAGCCTGCAGGCCATTGTCATCGAGGCGACTTGGTGCTCATGCGGCACGGAATGCAGATTGCCGAAGTTTGGTTTCATTGCTCCTTCGATGGGGAGTTGTTTTCTTTGGTCTCCTTTCTTGAGACGTTGAAGAAGGACCAGCATAGCTGCACCTGCAAGAAGTCTGAACAGACAATGGTGGTGAGCACGGCCGAGATCAAAAGCTCTTTATCCTACAGCCGCCTCGACGATGTTTATATGCGGGTAGCCATTCCCCTGCCGCATCGGCAATCCAAGTGAGCTGCTGGCTGGAAAAAAAGAAGGCAGGAATAGCTTTCACATTGCCAGGGTAATAGAATCGATGGTCGTTGTTCATCGTGTCTGGTTCCGTGATTCCTACTGTTCGGACAACTTTTCATGCAACCCTAAATTCCTAAACCCATGCAACCGTGAACCACGGGTTTGGGTTGACTTTGCCATGAGATCGGTTCTGAACAGCCTATCGTTCGCAATTGGCTTCAACAGCCTTCGGGCTCCGGCCTTTTGCGAATCCTTTTCAAGAGCCTTCGGGCTGAAATTGTGCACATCTTCCTGTGAGCATGCGGCTTTTGCCTATCGGCTTCAATCGGCTAAAAGCTTTCGGGCTCCGGCTTTTTGCCAATGCTTTTCAAGAGGTTTCGGCCTGAAATTGTGCACATCTTCCTGCGAGCATGCTGCTTTTGCAACTGTTTTCTTTGTGTCTCTGATGGCTTGCTGTGCTTACTCTCTGTCTTTTGCTTATTCAGACCCCTTGAGTCATTCATGCATATCCTGGTTCTGGGCAAATGCTAAGTACTTAGGTGGCTTATGCTAAGTACTTAGCTTCTTGCCGAAGTTGTTACATAAGTGTTTACCTAACTTATTAGAAAACACGTCTGTAACCGCTTATGTTATTAGTTATAAACACTGTAATCCTAGGCTTAACTCTTACATAAGTAAGTTAATCTCTAGTAAGCTCTATAACCCCGCGCGATCATCCAAGTAATGGAGGAGGACCCCACTGTCCGTACGGACGGCCGGTTCGGGCCGCCCCCACTGCCCGTACGGCCCCACGCTCCACCAAACATTCAGTACCGCTGTGAACGGCTCCCGACGAAAGCCTATAAGCCAGACCTCAACGCGCACTCCCTGTACGCACAAAATGGCCGTACGGACGGCCGCCAGCCAACTGCCCGTATGGACGGCGCCATTGTACTCCCAGACAGCTCGCAGGCTGGACCCCACTGCCCGTACGGACGGCCGGAACTGCCCGTGCGGACGGCGCCCTGCGCTCCACCAAAATTCAGTACCGCTGTGAACGGCCCCCCGACGAAAGCTTATGAGCAAGACTTCAACGCTAAGGGAATACGTTGTACGTCGTCCAAACCCCATAAGAAAAACCCTAAACCCTAACAGATTCAATGTCTGGGTGGTCTTGGGGTGGGATGTCGCGTCCAGCTCGGCGCGCCGCCCCGCGACCCTCTGGGTCGAGGCGCGCCGCTTCCTGTGGGAAACCCTATACCCTAAACCCTAACCCCTAAACCCTAAACCCTAGCCCCTAAACCCCGTGTTTCTTCGAAGCCCGAGCTGCTGGTGCGACACGAAAACAGCTTTCCCCATGCTGTCCTCAAAGATGACGACCTCGCCCTTAGCCTTCAAGTCTCATAAGGCTATACTAGATTATACTTAAGCTATATAAGTCTCATAAGGGCTATACTAGGTTATACTTAAACTATATAAGTCTCATAAGGGCTATACTAGGTTATACTTAAGCTATACAATTCTCAGAAGGGCTATACTAGATTATACTTAAGCTATACTATGCTGTACTATATTATGCACTTTTCTGGGTCGACGGTGATTGTCTCTAACCTTTCCGCACCTGGGGAAGTGTTTACCTCCACGCCTTGGCCTTGGAGCTTATCCAGGCCCAGGAAAAAACGTCAGGATGCTGACGGCTGAAACTTACCTGTGGTTAGTAGGGAATGGAAGAATGGTAATAATAGTAGTTATATTATAATTGTACCTCATTCCTCCATTCCCTGCTAACCAAAGGTAAGGAAAGTGGATAGAAGTATTCCGGCTCTTCCGGGACACAACTAGACAGACTTCTCGGTGTAATTCGCATCAGAAGTCTCGGGTATGAGATGCAGGTACGCTCCAGACAAGCAGAAAATACACCCAATCCCGACACATCCCAGGATTTTCTGGCCTTATGCACCTCGTGGGGCTCGATGACCGTCATCCTGGGTTCGTGTTGAGGAACACGATTTGCGCATAGGACTTCTTGAAATCTTGGAGGGTGTTAATCAAGGAGCGTAATTTTGGCTTAACAGAAACAGAATGAGGTAAGATGCTCCTCACAGTAAGAGCCCAGCTTCTCGAGCACCAGCTCACAAGGCATGGTGTACATCGGAAACAGCATTGGAGCAGCCTCGGGCGACAACGTCTTGGAAACTCTGACCACTTATAGAACTTATAAACTCCAAACCCTAAGCTTGGACGCCCTGCAAAGCCTAAACACCCAAAAGGCTTCGCCGCTCACCCAGGCGAGCGTGTGTCCACTTAGTCAGGGGGAAGCTGGAGATGTTGAAACAGCATCAGTAAAGTTATAGGGCTTTGGGAACTTGGGTCCTGTCTGAAGGAGGTGGCATCTTCATGTGTTGGGTTTCGGGCACATGTTCGCCACATAGACGCAAGGACTGTCCGTGTGAGGTACCGTCCCCAAACGCCCCAAAGCCATTATCGAGCCCTATGACCCTATATGCAACCCCTAAATTTAAACCCTGTGCAGATTAAAGAAAACCCTACAAAGTTAGGCAGGGCACTTCAAAATCGACATGGTCGGACGCTGGAAGGGTCTCAGCATATCGTTCCAAAGGCGTCGGGCTCCGTCCCAATGCGCAGCACGACATCGCGGCCCCAGGATGTGGTGGTTATTGATGAGGATGGCTTTCTAACTAACTTACCGACCGGGGTTTATGATTGCTTATACAGTTCAGTGTGGTTTTGGCTTTAAGCTTTCGTAGGTCTTCGGCCTCAAGGGAAGATGCCAAACGATCAGGCCAAATCCTGAAACAGAGGATAGACACCTTGAGACAAAGAAACGCAAGGCCACAACCTTATCTCTGATGACCCGTCATCTAAAATCTTCGCGGAAAGAACCGTAGCCGGAGGCATGTGCTTATGTCGCGGCAGAAGCGACGCTGAAGTGACTTTGTTGAAAGAGTTGGACATTGAAAACTCCAAAATGACCTCCATCTGAGACCGTGTAGGTGAAACATGCACGCATATTATAACGTATGCTCTCCTAAATCTCCACATAGCCCTCGGAGAGTGCGAGCGATGCCACAGTCTGGCATTCCACAGGGTCTCCTTCCAAGCCCTTGAGAAGAAAGTCGGGAAGCGCTTGGCCTCTGGCAAAGTCTCGAGCGCTCCAGTTCCGATAGTTTCTCAAGTCAAGGCGTGCTCCAGCAGCAATCAAGGCCGCAGCACCCTCGTGCTGCGCTGTCAACACGGCTGCCATCAGTGGTGTCATGCCAGAAAGATGGTGAAACAAGGAAGAAAGAATCGTTCTGCCACCAAGCCTGTACTGCATCGACTTCACCGCAACAAGCAGGCCGAAGGGCGACCAGAGGCTCGAGACGGTGAACTGATGGTTCACATCTGCCCTCAGCTCGAGGAGCCGGTCCACCATTTCCTGGACTTTGAAGTAACCAGGGAGAAAAAAGTATAGACTTGTATTTCATGATGGTTCCTTTAAGGAAAGCATTCAAGTATGGTACTCCAAACCCAGGTTCGGCTGAACCACCCGCAGCGGCCATGGCAAAAAAAAGCGCACGGGAAACAGTACCCGGCTCCTGGCTTGTGTGCAGCGTTAGTTCTGCTAAGGCTTGGAAAGATCCAAATGTAGCTATAGCTCGCAAGGCAGAGCATTCAAGAGCATCTTCGACCAGAGGGTTGATGCCAGCTGAGCAGAGGAGACGGATGCCATCTGCGTTGTCTGAGATGCTTGCCAAGTTTAGGGGGGTCGTAAAACCGCCCTGGAAGCTGGCCCGCGCTGCAATCAACCGGCGCGCAGCCTCGTTTTGCTTGAAAAGCAACGCAAGGTCGAGTGGCGATGTCCATGGTGGGCATCCCAACCGCGGCTTCTCCCTGGCCGTGCGCATATTCGGATCGGCATCCTGTCGCAACAAGCCGTCAACTATGTCAGCATCTCCGTTCAATGCGGCATAGTGCAGAGGGGACAATCCTGCCCGGTCAGAGTCGCGGACTTTTGCAAAGCCGTTCTGGTACAAAAACTTGGCCGCGACATCTGTGTTGCCATTAAAACCTGGAATAATGTCGCGTATTGGTGCAATGCCAAGGCCTCTAAAGTACAAGCCTTGGAGATTCAGATGCCGACGGTATCCAGCAAAGTCTCGAGCTTTGAGACACAACATGAGCTTTCGTACCACCGCCCGCCGCAGGATAGGTGCCAACTTCGTGCGGTCCTCTTCCCTGCTAAAGTCACCTTCACCCACGGAGCCGTATACAAGCGCCAAACTCGAACTAGAGGCCACTTCCAGAAACCCACCACTCTTGATCTTCACCCACATATCATCCCGAGAAAGTTCCCGTATGACCCTCTCCATGCGGCACCATCCTCGACGACCCCAGCTGGCCTGCGTTAGCAATGCAGTTCCATCTTGGCTGGTCAGGACAGGGCATAAAGCGAAGAAGAAGGAACACTGGCCGATGTAGGCCGGAATACTTCTGATAGCCTGTGCCAGATCGCTGCCATCATCACCAACACTACTCCCACCGATGAAGCTTTCCCGTGGCTCCAGCTGTGGGCATGAAACGTAGTCATACCAAATGAACAACGGATGTGACCTGAAAATGCGAAATGGCAGGTGCCTGGCCTTGGCTGTCGGCGACGGGATTGAATAACAGTCATGTAACTACCTACAATACCCTGAAATCACGACGTGGGAATTCAAGCAGGCAAGGGGCAGTAGGAACGTAAGCTTCCACCGCCTTAGCTGATTTTACGACCAACCGATGGTTCCATGTGAAACGCTCTGCTCCCTGCGGCCGGATCTGGACCCCAAACCCATGTGTGAGTCCATGGCATCCCACTCCGAGCTCGCTGCAAACTCCAATGGAACGATGCCCTCATCGTGCAGAAGGTGCCTCCCCAACCCATACAAAACGGATCTATTCTTAAAGCCTGTACTCCTGCATACTGGTAAGTACGCGTCAGCACAACGATCAGTGATCAATATACTACCACGGCTGTGCTGGGTATTGCCCTTACGCCATGGTACCATCAGCAACAACAGTTTGCGGTAGTCTGTTGCAATCACGGATATCTTAACTGCGACCGGACCGCAACTACCACTACTAGTAACTAGTAACATACTAGTACTAGTACTAGTCTTTCTTACTGCTACTACTACTGCTACAAATACTACTACGACGACGACGACGACGACTACTACTATTACCACCACCAACAACAGCAACAACAACAACAACAACAACAACAACAGCAACAGCAACAGCAACAGCAACTTCAACAGCAACAACCACAGCAGCAGCACCGACAACAATATCGACCACCACGATGAGTGACAAGTACATCCTACCACAGACAGGTACCACCACCATCAGGCTAATAGTAATAGTACCAGTCGTAGATAACTAAGGGCTAGGCGACATCCACTACCGCCAGGACAACTACGAGTAGCGCTACGACGTTGACGAGGCACCAATACCACCGCGATGACATGCGGCCACCACCGTGACTGCTGATAGCTGCTAATGTTGCAGCTGATGCTCCTCCGACATTTCACTGCGCGAGCATAGCTACAGACCCAGAACCGAAGCACTACGCCGCCTCTGCTCAATTCTGAATGCCAGGAACCTTAACTAATGAGCATGTAGGCAGAATGCCACCAAACTTAATCTTACACTCCACTCCGGCCTCAAGGCATCCTGCAAGACTCGCAGCTGCTTGCACTCAGGATCCGGATGTTGCTTTGCAGCCCACCTGAAGCCCGCAACCATACACGCAGTTATATGAGGCAAAACTTGGGGTACGGTACCGACACCGTCGGCTAGAACAGGGCTGCGCGACTCTCGGAAGAACGGGGCTTTCGGAAGTTGGAGGGTCTGAGGGATTTTGGCCTTCAGGTGTGGGTGCTACAGGAGATAGTTAAGAGTTTCCGTTCGATCAGCCTGTGGCTTTGTGACATTCGGTGCACAAAGGCTTCCTGGATCTACTTGGGGTTTAAGGCTTCAAGGGCTTCGGGTGACGGCGTAATCGCTACAAGAGCGGTCTTTCCGCCCAGAGATCCAGAACAGCGATGTTGCCTGTTTGGGAAAGCCAAGCTGCTGATGTGACACGAAAGCAGCTTTCCCCATGCTGTCGTCAAAAATCACGACCTCGCCCCTGGCCTGCAAGGGTTCAAGGGCCTCAATGATTCCAATGATTAGAATAGGGAACTCCGATGCTAAGGAATACTTTTTGCTCCTTGACCAGGGCTTCGGGGTTGATCATGGGATTTTGAAAAGCAGATATGGGATTGTTGAAGTTCAAGGCAGCTGAAGGAGTTGACCATGAGGCTTGCGGCTCAGGCCTGGATTTCAGGTTTTAACGGCTGCACATGGACAGCGGTTCAGGACTTTCGGAATCGGAGTAGGCATGGCGTCCGGTGCTTGATGACAGAGCCTCCTGCATGTACAGTCTTCTCAGGGCACTGCTGTTGTAGCTGTCTGGGTTCTTCTGCCGCACTTTGCACGGTCTGACTATTAAGTCGCCTTAAGCTCCGTCGCCTTAAGCTCCTCGTGCGGGTCGACCGTGGTCATCTGAAGCATGCGCTCGCAAGGGAGGGTGTACATCGGGAACAACATTGGAGCAGCCTCGGATGACAATAGCTCAAGGGTACAGGACCTCGCAGCCTCCACGTCCGTGCTACAACCCTAAACCCTAAACCCGAAACCCAGCCCGGACACCTCAAGGTCAATATGGTCGCATGTTGAAAGTGTCTCAGCGTATCGCTCCAAAGGAGTCGGGTTTCGCCCTGATGCACAGCAAGCCATGACGACCCTCTGGGTCTCGAACAACTTCGTCCTGGTTCTTCCCCCTTAATCCTTGTTGCCCTCTGGAAGGTGACACTCAAAGCGTGCCCTGCACATCTTCAAATCTGGAGCTTTATGCTGGCACCTTGAGCCAAAGACATACAAAGGCAGAACCTTGGAGCTGTTCTGACGGGAGTTGACCTTCAGGATTTCCGGTTAGGCCCTAGAGGCGGGGGTTGTGGGGCCAATAGGGATCTGGGTCGTTGTTGAGCAGCTGACCGGTGGCGAACAGGGTGGTGAACAAATGTTGGTGGACAATAACCTGGATAGCGGGGGCCGTTCCTTTTCATTTTATTGGGT